GAGCTGTACCTGCACATCCAAGAGCCATCTTATTTTCAGCTGCAGTGATGTCAAAATTGTTGCGATATACCTGACCTCCAGCAGGGCTTCTGACTTAGTGTAACACTAGAATGCAAAGAGTAAGCCTCAAGGAAAAAAGAGAAAGCCACAAAAATGCATAAATATTAAAATTTGTTGGGAGAGTAAACTAGCTCCCTCAAAATACAAAGCAACATAAGACAGGATGAAGAAGCATAAGGGTGCCACATTAAAAAAAACACAAGATTCTCTAAAAATACATGTAGATGAAGCAGAATTTTAAAAAAAGAAAAAAGTGTTCCCACCTTCCACTCTCCTCTAGTCAGAATTAGCATTAAAAAACCTGATAAACACAAGGTTTCAGAGCTCTCTGTAACATTGGCGTTCTGTGGGTTATATTAACTCATCGTCTGAATACTACTTTCAGGTGACAGCCATCATATCAAGTCCTGAAATCTAGTTGAGCAAAGATGTTACAAACAAACAAACAGCACTATCAAATTTATAACATACAAAGTTACATTATAGCCAAAACACATAACAAACAAAAAGTAAAGAAAGCATTTAATGCATTAAACCAGAAGTGGTTTGGGGTGGAAGAAGTGACAAAATCAAAAACTACCTTTGATCAGCTGAGTTGCAAGGGCACACAATATTTGTTCCAAGGAAATCTGATTATCTAGTTTGTCCATAAATAATCTGGTATCTCTATAGCATCCCTTTCTAAACTTTAGATTTCCTTTAGAAACTCTATTCCCTATCTACAGCTTTGAAAATTCAGACCCATTTCCAATACATACAACCACCTTAGAAATGGATGCCATTTTATAATTGACTAAGATCCACCCCAGCCTGTATTGCCACTATCAAAGAAGCCCTGTTTTTCCCTCACCATTTGAAAACTAATAAAAAATGGGCAGAGGGGAAATAGTTTCCCATCATATCAAATTACTAATCCAGTTGACAGTGCAGCCCACCTTTTGGCAAAGCATAATGGGAAATGATGTTCTGATGTAGCAATTAAAGATAAAATTGTAGATAATTTTGTTTCTGCAGTTTAAAACACTAAAAAACACCTCCCCCCCCATTGAAATGTAAATTCATTTTCTTGTATAGAAAATACTGTCCATCCTGAAGACTTGACACTTATAGACATTAACCTATTAGGTAACAAATTTATTTCCAGTCATCTGCAAAATAAATGCATACACAAGATACTACCCATTGTAGTTTGCTTCACCTCAGACATAATACTTAATCCAGCAAATATTTTGTTGTCTTGTCAAAGGCAGATAATAAATTTTCAGCTACACCTAATGTTCAGTAGAATAGTGTTGCCAATATTAAAAAAAAAAAAAAAAAAGAGTCATGTTTAGGGGGTCAGCAAGAGGCAAGCAATTGCTTTTGTGCACTATCACATACAGCCTCTGTCAAGACAGAAAATGGAAAACTTCCACTGTTCTTGGGTATGTATTCATATATAGAACAAATTCTGAAAGTATGTCATTAAGTCTGATAACTCAGCCAAATAGAAACAGATGTGTGCAACTCAACACTATCCACCTGTGGGCTACAGAAATGTGTATTTGAAAGCATTTACATCTCAGTACTGGTGATATCTGCCTTGCTGTATAAAGATTCAATTGTCTACTGGGCAGGATTGAAATTCATGAAAGACCAAGAGTGAATCATCCTTAAATTTCTCTATTTAAAAGGATTTTTTAAAATTATTATTATTATTTGATTTTTTAAAAGGCTTTATTTGAAGTCCATATCTATTTCAAGGAAGGCAAAAAATAGGACAGAAGTTGCAGGTTGCTAGATTCAGATCTAGAAACTTTTGAAACATATCCTGAGAATTAAACAGATGTGAGAGTCTGCAAACTTGAAAACACAGAAAGCAAAATCAAAATCAAGGCAGCTATAAGGACACTTTATAATTTGTTTTTCTCCTCCATCTGTCTTATCCTATTACACTATCACTGGAGACCTAAGTATTTAAACTTATTTGCCTTTCCCTCAAGGTTTGACTAAAAATGCCCAAGTCTCAAATCTTTCCATTCTCAAGAGAATCATTATCATATTTGGGAGTCTTGGTCAAGTCTTGCCGCAGACGATACAGGACATCCAAAATTACAAGGTTCTCATCCCGTAGCCTGGATAGGAAAGAAGCTGGTAACATACAATAATAACTAGAAATCTATCAGAATATTTTCATCTCATAGCAAAATAATGAGGAAAAACCCTGAAACTGGAGTTATCTTTCAAATTTTAACTCCATCTTAGCTTTATTACAATAGAATTAAGCAATTCTTTCCCAACTCTTTTCTGGCATAAGAGTTGTCTTCTTTTACATCTGTGCTACAAGGTCTAAACATCGAAGTTTTTGACCATGGTCACCTAAAATTCTAAAACAATCAGGAAACACTCATAGCAGAAGCATTGCCTATCTCCCACAGCATGTTTTGGAAGAGGCACCCAGAAAACCAGACACCCTCCCTCCCCTGCTCAAATGAGTAACTGAAATGCAAAATCACAAAATACAACATTAAATTAGAACTCTTGCTATTAACCAGCTTGGTTATGGACACAATTTGTCAACAAAAAATTCTTTACAGTAATGAAACACCTTGAATGTTCCTAATGTGACAGGCTCTGGGGTAGGATATTTGGAAATGTTAAAGTAAACGAACTCCATGTGGCTGGTATGACTTTCTACCACAATGTCATCTACTGTTGCTCAGAAGAAACATACAGGATTGTGTGCTCAAAATTACAGCACAACTTCTAGAACAGCTACATCATTGAACATACGAGCTTTGTCAAGCACAAGCTGTAAAGATCTCCATTGCATATTACCCATATATCTGGAAGACAGTATGAAGATTAGGAAAAAGATGTTTATTTCGACAGCCATGAGAATACAGCATGATGAAGAGGATCCCTAGACTCAAGAAAAAAAAAAAAAAATCAGCTTGATACTATTTGTTGAGGCGAATAGATCTCAAAAAAAGGAGAACAAAGGGATGGAGTCAACAGACTGCTTCAAGTATCATGTACTTTTAGAGAAGGGAACAGCGAAAGTCAGGAAATTAGAGTTTAGATACAAACATATTTAAGCTACTGATAAAAGGACTAGAAAACTGCAATTTCAACAGAAGCACCTTAGAAGCATGAAGAGGGATGAAAAAAGATCTGCATATCAAATGTGACCCAATGACTTAACCTAGAAGAGAAAAGCAAGAAAAAACACCTCTTTACTTCACCACCCTCCTTCTCAGAAAGATTATTTTGATAAAGCTTTTAAAACTTATCAGGACTTGTTTGGGAGATGTCTCTGATGTAAAGGGCTGAAAACATATTTTGTTGTAGTGCTGAAAATGGTCATATGACCAGCTTCCCTGAGCTTGAATGAAACTAATCCTGTTAAAGCTTAGAAATATGCATGACTCAGTAGGCAAAGCCACGTGCATATCTGTCCTTACAGAGTTTCTGCCACCTTTTATTGTCCAAAAGCGCTGTGTTGCTGATTTCTAAATGGCCTCTATTGCTTTAGTTTTCTTTCCAGAAACAAACTCAAAACATTTAATCCTAAACTTTTTTTTTAAAAAAATAAAAAGAAACTTTTAGAAGCAATTTTTAAATCTATCATGTATACATTTCCCATTTGGACAAAGTCTGAAGTAAACTCAGCAGCATATGTTATTACCATTGTGCAATTCTACTACTTTTATAACTTCAAATTTTTTTCCATTATCTACCTCACTGCTCTGCTTCACTCTTCCATCTTGTAAAGAGATTAACAGTATTATGTAAATATTTACTACACAGTCCTGGCTGCGCTGGAACAGAAGAAATATTAACTTTAAAAAAGAAAAAAAAAATTGTACCATGTGCCTAGAGGAATGGTGGAATGATTTCAAATCTCAGTGCAAGGTTTCAAGTATCAAGAGAAAATAACCACATATTTGCTATCTAATTTCTAGTTTCTCAGCTGTGAAAATGAAAATTATACACGCCCTTTCTAAACCATGGAAGAGTACAATCCATCGAATACTAAGAAGAAATACACACTTACTAATGTAATAATAATACAATACCTACTAATACAATAATAAAATACTAATATTGTCTAAAATAAATTCTACTATTTCAAGAAATTGCCAAGATCCACAACAGAACAGGTTTGGGTTTTTTTAGCAGGTTTATAAGCCTCAGCCAGGACAGGAGAGCACAGAGCATAAGCCATCTCCTGCAAGCAGTTCTCCAAACATTGGAATTGATGCACGCTAGGAAGAAACTTGCAGACTACTTCATATGGCATACCTAATGTTTTCATCCATAGATCTATCATCTTTGAAAGCTTTGCTTTCTGAAAGATAAATTACTAAAAAAATAAACTGGACAACCCTTGAGATGTTTTGTCCTAGTGCACATTCACACTTTGAGTACACAAATGCCAGTCCTGCAGCAGTATCAACAGGGACACCACACAGTCACTTTCTGCCTTCTTCAGAGAAAGATGCTTAATATAAAGAAGCAGGAAAGCTTCTAACCTTCACTTTCTCAGCATCAAAGATTATTAAATAATATGTTATGCCTACATTGTAATAGAAAACCCTTGAGGTTAGAAGAAAAGACACTGGAGAGGTTTGTTCTGCCCCTATACACTATGGGTACAGCAAACAACAAAGAAGAATGTCTGGCCCTGTGAATAGTCTTAAAACAAAAGGAGAAAAATGAAATCTACTTTTCATGATGAAAAAGAGTACAATCTGTAATACAAATGTGAAAAATTCTAACAAATTCTAAACCAGTACCTCCACTGACAAATACAAAAATAATTAATAATTTCTTAAAATAGTATTATGTGCTTATTTCATGCTACTTAAGGTAATAACATCAACGAGCAAGAGTGTTAGTGGATTCTCAACACTTTTCAATGCTACAAACAGGTACATACACTGAGCTTTGTTTGAGCCCCTTCTTGATGATACCTGGTATCCTCAAAGAATATACTTCATAGGTCAATGAATTACCACTTTGTACCTTAGCACACACAGTAGGAAGATCTAAATGAAACCAGAAACAATTCTGTTTCTTGGTTATGTGAATGTTGATTTTGTTTCAACATTAAAATAAGTCTTTAGTAAAGATTAGGTCTACAAGGACACTTAGAATGTTTACAAGGTTATATACATACCACTACTGCTGTGCCAGGATTTCTACAGCCATCTACTGAGTTATTTCAGCATGCTCCACCAACCGAAACCAAACCAAATGACAGATCATTTTCTGCACAAATCTAGTGAGCCTTGCAAGTAGCTTAAAACAGAAAAATGCAAGAAGGAGCCACCAGTTAGACTGGGCAAAGCTGCTGTAGAACTGAAACATCTGTCACTACATAATCAAGAATCCTTCATGATCAGGAAGCTCTTACTCTCCCTGTTTCTAACCAGCTGATGAAATACACACTAGATACTCAGAAACTGGCTGAAGGTCCAAAAGACAGGAAAAAGACTGACTGAAGCCAGTGTAGCGTAATGAACACCTATTTCACCATCCAGGTTAAGAACAAGAATTCCAAGTAGCATCAGATCTGAAAAAGAACAACTTAGTAAGCAAGAAACCATAAAAACATTTCCTCCAAGTATGGATTTCCAATCAGCTGTGCACCTGCTTTTTAGCAGTTTAATCTCAGTTTCCTGTGAAAATGTCAGGCAAGACAGTGAAAGTTGTTGCCAAAGTCAAAATATGGTATCTATTGTTAATTTTAAAGCATGTTGTTGTCATCTTATAGAAATAACTGAGACTTGCTTGATACGGCTATTCTTGAAAGTTTGTTAGCTATTACTCCTCTCTCCTGCCAGGTACGAGCTTGTCCATCAGTTCATTGTACAAAAAAATACAGAAATTAGGCTGACTGATGTTCAATACCCATTTTAAAGTCTGTTACTCTGTGCTTTTCCAGCCCTCCATAGCTTCTGCTAAGTCTTTTGAGTATTGTAGAAAAAATCTGTATCAGTTGGTTCAAAAATGTCCAACAGACCTAGAGTATCCTCTAACTTGGTCTCTCCTTGTTATAGCACGAAATCCTACTCCTTTCCCATTGATACTGGCTGCATTAGCCACAGACTGCAGTTGAACTTTTCAGTGAAGAAACTTGCAAAGACTTTGGCTTTTTTTTTTTTTTTTTTGCATCTGTTTGCAGTTTTCCCTCTTTGTAGTAAAGTAAAAACCTTCTCTTGGCTACCAAGACAAGCCTTCCATAACTAGTATTAGAAATCTGTATGCCTCTGTATCCATTACAGAACCAGTTACTTACTTTGGTATAAATTTCAAGGTCAACACACAACTAACACCTTCCTCTTCCATGAAAATAATTGTCTTTGTAAAATACCTACTGTCAAATAAAGTTACAATCTTTACTGGAAAAGCAAGAAGCCAAGAGAGAAGTAATTTTGGAAACCATCCTTCTGGCTTCCAGAAACTCACTTAAAATCAATACAAATGAAAAAAACAGGATTCACTATTCTCACAAGCATCAGGTACTACAAAGTAGCTGCCTTGCTTTGGAACAGAATAAGCTTAGCACTATCTTTGGTTTTGTATTGAGCTCATCTGTGTTGAAAGCTGTCAAATCAATCAAAAAAAAAGGGTTGTTATGGTAAGCTACAGATAAAGTGACATTTTACATGATCTGTGTTGCTTGTCTGTTAATGTTAGCTTTATTATTTTCCTTTTTTAGCATTATGTAAAGATGAGATAGTAATGAACTGAAAAGGCGAAGAGGAATGCAGCTGATAGAAATTTTCATCCCTTCTTTCAATTTCAAGAGACAATTGACATAAGTCAATGTAATTGACTTCATTCCCATAAATAAAGACTAGTCACAAAGCCACAGTTACACCTTATTCAAAGCAAAAGATAATAGCAATTGTCAAGCTGATCAAATATTAACATTAGTTGGTAGAGTGAGCCTGAATTTAAGATTTACTGAAAATGGTAATGTGTTCCATCTACGCACCACAGATTAAGCAATAATACATGACAGAGTTTCTAGCCATTGCCTGTTATTTAGGACAGATATTTCTATATATGATCATGTATATCCAACAATCTGAGCTATAAAAATTGCATTTGTCTGATGTAACATAATACTGTGAAAATTTCCTAGAAATAGCTAGACAAAAGTCTAACAAGTAACAGCCTGCGACACATGTCAAAAACACATTCATGCTAGAAAAGACACCAACTAGTTGAAGACAAAGCCCTTAACTTCCAAAATTGAACACCAAGGGAAAGGCTTGAATTAGATAAAGAATCTCTGAAACCTAGCTAAGACAGCAGAACCATCTGTGTTCTTCCTACACTTACGACTCTCCCAAGGAAACCAGCAGCAAGAACAGGTAAACTGAAAAATAAACAGCCTGCTGGGTCGACATAAAACTAACATTATCAAATGTAGAACTGGAACAGTTCGTTACTAGTTTCACTGAATACAAGAATTACTGTAACTCTTGCAAACGTTCAAGTAGAAAATTAAAAACAGAATTTACCTTTGAAGGTCTCAAGTTCCTTCCTGTGGGAGAAAAGTAGAATTAAAAAAAAAATTATTAGAAATACAACATCAAGAACTACAGGAGATATTTTACATAGTTTAAGACTCATTAAAAGACAAAAATCAAAGAATTTGAGTATCATCGTTTGTAAGGGTAATATTACTAATTGTGTTGATCTAAAGAAAACACTATCAACCTGTTTAGAAATTAGTCTACCACCTGTTTATTAACATGTACAATTATATAAATATTGCAAATTTGTATCTAGTCACATAATTTCTAGATACACTGTTGTGAAAATAACC